TATATAAATTAAATTATAATTGTCAGAGAATCAATTTAATTAATGCATTCTTCCGTTAAGTAACTCCCAATAAATGTTTGCTTAAGCAATATAAAGCTGAGAAACACATAGCTCAAACACTCTTACTAGGCTTTAATTAGAATTATTATGACTGAGACTTCAAGAGTCTGAGACAATTCTTATCAGAATCAGCGAAGCAGTCAGCAAATGCAACTCACCCCCAATTTGGTGGGAATTTTTTCGTTGTAGATGGCAAACGAAAGACTTAAACGACAAACTTGACGAGGCGTTGTTGCGTGCGAGATGAGCAAGAAACCAGAGCGAGAATGAGAGAGAGAGAGAGAGCGAGAGAGAAAATATACCGAAGGGGTCAAGTTGGAAAAAGAGAAGAGAAACCACCACCACCAGGTTGTGTAATTGGAACTGCAACTTCTTAAGGCCAACGCCGTGCACGGCATCTTATAAGAAGTTGAATATGAAATTAGTTGAATTTTTAATGAACATTCACATTTTGAGTGCATAATTTTTGCTCTCCCTCGCTCCCTGTGCCTAGTTGGACCATTGAATGCGTCGTTGGCCTGCGGTCGAGCTGTAGGGCCCGCGACAGGGGACAGCGGCAGGTGCTGGGGATTGCGTCTTCAAAAAAGTTCCCAGGAGCTTCCACTGCACTAATTATCTTGGAAAATCAGAGTCTTGACTTTAAAGCCGGCTGCCGGTTTTCACACGCTGTGAAAATTCTAAACACACAATGCGTGGGAAATCGCCAGCCGGTTGTGTGGGAGCCAAAATGGGGTTGCATGCAATCATGGTAATAAAAAAAAAAAAAAAAAAAACAACAACAACAAATCAAATAAATAAATACACTTACTAAAAGATATTATGTATATTTACATAATTTCATTTTGCTTTTACGTGCTCTACCCAGTTCTAAATTCTGATAAAGAAACTTGCAAAGGCTGCTAAAATTTCTTCTATTATTGATTTTATTGAAATTGTCAATGGACTTTGAGTCCTTGTAAAAGTTTTCCATGAAGAGAAGCAAAGCGATTATTTTCTTTGACAGTCTCTCAAATAGGGCAGCAAATGTATTTGAAAGTTAGAAAAGCTTAACTCGTTCATCACTCTCGCTCTAGTTGAGCCAGCATTGAACGGAATATAAATATATAATACACAGAATAAACTATCTTACTGAAGATATTAAAATATCAATTGACGACAAATTGAAGAGAATAATTGGGCTAAGATGAGAGATCTACTATTTAAGATACCATTCATTCAACACCATTCTGAAATCAATTATTTGATTAATCTATTGAAAATTATTGAAAGCTAAAATTGGAACAATTGTGCGAAGAAGTATTGAAGATAATAATATATATAATTAAAAATGTATCATATATTATAAATTTTATTCGTTTACAAATGCGTATAAAGTTGATAAAGTTAGATAAGTGGGTTAGCTCTAATCTATTATAAATATCAATTTTCTTCAAAATAATTTACAATGTTATTACCCGGTAAGTTTATCAATTCTCGAATTTGAGTTTCATATCAGTGCTGCCAAATCAGCTTTTTTCCCGTCAAATCTGGCTTTCTTGAAAATCCAAGAAATTCTGTATTTTTATACCCTGAACCCATTGAAAATGGGAAATCAGGGTATAATGGTTTTGTGAAAAGTATGTAACAGGCAGAAGGAATCATCGCAGACCCCATCCGTCCGTCCGTATGAGCAAAAGGATCTCAGAAGATATAAGAGCAAGAGAGCTGAAATTTGGCATGCATACTCGTGTATACCATAGGCAGTACAAGTTTATCTTATTTTTTCGATAACTCATCCGATAACTTTTTTATCGAGAATAATCGAAAAATCGACTTGGTTTTTTTCAGCCTAATTTGAGCACTTTTAGACCTGGAGACTTCAAATCTGCGTTGTATATAAAGTTAATGGATACAAAGATTTTGCAATCTACAGAGTTTATATACCACGCCCCCTTCGCCCCCAATTTGTAAGAAACGCATTTCAAGTACTACAGACTTGTGCTTTGGAATGTGCACACATTTTAGCCATATGATTACGCTCCGAAAGTTTTAATAAGATCGTATGTCTACAAAAGAAATTATTCAACAAATAAATTCTCATAATATTGCCCACATTGCAGCGCAGCCCAAGCGCAGCCGCTGCTTACTGCGCAGTTAGCAGAGCGCGTGATTATAAGTGCATGTAAATGCACAATATAAAATGAATATTGATATGCTTACTCAATTTTAAGCGTCAGGCAAAACCTATATAATGTAAAACTTTACAGATGCGGCTTGCCACGATTGAAGAAATGCTGCCATGACTTCTAGTTACTAAAAATATATTTAAATATCAATCAAATCAAAAACTATCAGCTTTGTTGTCCAATTTTTTTTCACAAAATTTCAGCTTTTTTTTAAGTATCTTCCCACTGAAACCAGCTTTTTTTGCTCAACAAAAGTTGGCAGCACTGTTGAACCGATTAGATTGACCGATAAGATTATAATACCTAATATCACTTAGGAAAATTGAAGATTTTTGGCAGTGTGATGGCCATCTCAGAAAGTTAACGTCCACGACTTTTGCTCGTCCTCTAGTTAGCTAGTTAGTTAAGTTAAGTTTTTCTCGGAAAGTTAAATTTTGCTCGTCCTCTATCTTTTTATATTACTGACTATTAGATTACTGTAGAGGAAAGACTATAGCCCAAATGAAAAATTTAACGCAAAGTTGTTCGGACAAAGAGGTAAATTTCAATTGACTATAAAATACAGCTTCATTTTTATGAGAAATCTTACAGTTGGTAGACATGCTGATGTCATACGATAAATACAAACGCCCTCAAAATCGATACATTTGTGTAATCAATAAATTTGAATTGGATATAAGTCAAATTCGATTTATACTTAATATAATTCAAAATAAAGTTATCAAATATGTTGAACTTGATAATGATCACATACTAGTGGAATACGCAGATTATAGACAACAAGACGATGACAAAAGTGAATCTTTTCCTGCACTCAAATGGATCTTTCACGCAGTAGAGGTATTTCATTGCTCATCTAAATCAATACACATTCATGCATTATGCTCCAATTGCATTTTGTTAGTGAATAACTATCGCTATTTGAATATTGTTGTGCTTCCCAGAAAGTATCGAAAGTATTTATACCAAGCTGTAGCTATCCTCATTCAGAAGAGAGACATTCTATTCAAGAGGTCATATCCGCGCTCACCGACATTCTGTAAGCGTAAAATATGTCACTCAATCTAATATAAGAAATATTAACAATAAAATTAACTATTTGATTACAGCACGCCAGATGAAATTGAAGAACTCAATAAATCATTGAAGGTTAATGTCGGAGAAGTAGACTTTGATGATCTTACGATAGGCGAGGTAGAATTATTGATCTACAGCGTATAATAGTTAATACAGGCACAGAGGCACCTAAAACCTCATACATTTAGCAAGGAACTCCAAAAGTGTGTGTGCTTGCCCGTCGCTTAATCTTATGCTTTATGCGCCCCAAAAGCTTTCATACCCTTCCCGCAAATAATAATGAAATCGCTAAGATTTTGCATCCTTTCAGCGCTCCTGCTCGAGCCTCAAGATACCGAGCCGAGCAACTACAAAGTTGAATGGTCTCTTCATTTAATTTTTTCGTCTTTAAAAAATTTTGTACATGTATGTCTACTCTATGTATTGTATGGTTAGTGGTATAATGGTTAATATTAATAAGGAGAATCAATCGGTATGCAAATTGGACGTGGCGGCTTTGGCATAGTCCATAAGGCAATATGGCATCAAAATTTCGTCGCTGTCAAAAGATGCAAAAAAAATGAGACGTTCAAAAAGGAGGTTAAACAAATGTCCCGCACTAACCATGAGAATATTGTACGGCTATATGGAAGTTGCTTTGACAAGGACTTCGCATACTTAGTCATGGCTTACGCAGAGTGTGGATCCCTCTTTGAGTTCTTGCACGGCAGCGAGCAAAGGGAGTATACCATGGCAATGGCTATAGACTGGATGATTCAGTGTATCCAGGTTAATTCTCATTCATTAGAATAATAATATCATGGCTTAACCTCTACTGCCGTTTATAGGGTATTAACCACATGCATTCCATGGAACCAATACTGATTCATCGTGACCTAAAGACTGCCAATCTACTCCTAACCAAAAATTACAGGAATTCGAAAATTGGAGATTTCGGCAATGCGACGGATCTAGGAACTATGATGACAGATATGTCTGGCACTGCCGGCTATATAGCCCCAGAGGTTGTGTTAATCCAAATCTTGCATACAAATACAAAATTTATACCTTCATACATACACAGGTTCTCTTAGGAAATACGTATACGGAAAAGTGCGACATTTATAGCTTCGGGATTGTTCTATGGGAGGTGAGAGGTGATGAACGACCAAGATTATTTGATATAATACCGAATTGTGAGAAATTACGATTTGTGATCTCAAATTGTTGGAATCAGGAACCGAAGAATCGACCCACAGTCAAAGAAATTCAGCTTACTGACATTCCATGTCTTGATATTATAATGCGATCCTAAGATAACCATTATTTTTATTTATTTAAA